GGTGATATCTTTCTGAGCATACAGGTAATCTTAAAGGGTAACTACAGTATCTGACTTTGTTGTAAAGGTATAAATTACTTGTTAAATGTTCCTAAGTCTGTTCTTTTAGCAAAAATAAAACAAACTTTGAGTTGATTCTTTAAAATATTCTTAAGTGCAACTCACAGATCTTTGCCAAACACAGGCCCTGGTCACCTTCACTGCAACAAAGCGAGGGAGGGCAAATAACTGTCATTTGACACATCATTGATCACACTGATGTATCATATACTCATTTGCTTTTGGGGTTACACACTTCTCCAGGCGCTGTGAGATCTGCCAGCTGGCTGCAACCGAGGCTATTTGGAATGAGCTTCCACTGCAGACATCTCCATATCCACACAAGTTTTAGAGAAGGTATCTTTCTGGGAGAATGCTTCACTAATTATTTCCAGTTTTATAAGCTCCTGAAAGTCAGACAGGGCCCATGGTCATCCCTCACCAAACCCCATTTTTGTGACAGTGAACAAAAAATGTCAAACATCCAATTTGGCTGTGAGTTGTGATGCCCATAAAGTGATGAAGATATGCAGAGAATGATGCCCTAAAGAAAAAGAATATAAAAGGGACAAGGGAGGAATATTGATTCTCCTGTTTAAATGAAGCTGTCAGAAAGAGTTGAAGAAAGAGGGGAAAATGTCAGGGCTTTTTGGAAATACCCCACTTCCAGCAATACAGATGTCATAAAAGAAATGACTCACTCACTCCAGTCACATGTTTTCAGAAAAGCCTGCTGGCCAACTGACCGGCGCTTGCTCACAAACGCACACACAAGCACAGACACAGAGGAGGAATCTAATAAATCTGCATATCAACACAAGCCTTGTGTCCAGCAGCAGGGTTAATGTTGGCAGAACAGTGGCTGAGTTGTTGCTTTGATCAAAACCACTGAGGAGGCGTCACCGCAAACTTTGTTGCAACACACTCACACTTGCACAAACAAAGTTGTGTGGCTAAAGGCATGACGTTCACATAATATGCATGATTTTTAAAAAAAAGAACTAAATATACAAATGGTAAATGATACAATAAAACAGTCTGCTCTGGGGATAAACAAGTTTAAAGATATAAAAGAATCTTCACACACACAGGCATAACAAATGCAAACACACACAAAAAAAAATTACAAATACACCACAACACAAAAGATCCCCCGAGTTTCTGCAACATAAAGACACCAAGCGCCAACAAATGAAAGAAAACCATTTAACTTTGACACTCTGCTCTCCACTTGGTTCTTAAAGTGAGCACAGCCATTTGCTCTGCTGTTACACTTTGATCACAACTCGCTCCCCATTTTCAAATGTTGTGACATTTGAAAAACACACTCCCACTTTGGTCTCCCATCAATGCTGGAAGAGGAATAACAGCGCCAAGACTGCCCACCTGCAGCACCTCACATCCTCTCTCCACAAGAAATGACAGTGACCAAAAAATAAGCGCCCTACTGTCACAATCTGCCGGTCGGACTCTGACGATAGGAAGTCCATATTTGGTCATCATTTCTCGCTTTCTTACACCGCTATACAATCGGCTATTACTGAGGAAGATGGAGGGAACCAGAGGACGCAGTGTTTTTATTATTTTTTTAAGATGAGAAACAAGAAGAAAGTGCTTTTCCTCCCACAGAGCTCTATCTCTCCAATGGCCCCTTGTCGGGGGACAAATTGAACCTAGAAATAAGGGGTCATTTCCACCGGCTGTCTACCTGTTCACAGCACACTGTCATCAGTTTGAAACACACACACAAGCTGACCCAGCTGTACCCTCGGAGAGCTAATGTGAGGGAGGGTCGGGTCACTGTGGTCTTCACTGTCACAGCAAGCAACCTGTGTGTGTGTGATGTTTGCTTTTATGACAGTAAGGACCTTGATGTCCTTTGACTTTTTGAACTGAGAGGCAATTAAACCACTTCAGCCTCTTTATCTTTCTGGAATTACACAATCTGACCATAGCAGAAAACCTTCTAAATAATAGAGGTAAATAAGGTAATAGAAGTAATAAAGAGGTAAATAATAAAAATAAAATTACTACTCCTACTACAAATGATTATAAAACAATAATAAATGACACAAAAATCTCACTTTTAAACAGCTTATCAGATGACTTCTCTGACCATGTTAATAAAAGTAGGTGCATTTGTGTAAGTTCTAAATACTATTTGAATGTTATCAAATCTGATTCTGCCAGCTGATACAGGTTCTTATCAAATCATGGTCTGAAATATTGTTTTATTATTGGAATACAAAGAAATATGTTAACAGGGAAAAATATTTTCTATAATGAGGTATTCTGTAGTAAAAAGAGCAACGAGCAAATCATGGTAAATATATATACAGTAAACCTAACTTGTTAGCAGGGCGATATTTCTACGCTTGTTTTAATTTTACATTACCTGACTCCACGACATTATGAGAAATCAAAACAGCTGCATTCCTCATGTTGCAAATGGTTCACGATCTTTAAACATGATCACATTCTACTGTGCTTTGACTCATAGCCACATTTTGTATCCCAAGGCCTTTCCACCATATTTCTGACTTAAGTATTGAATGTTTTAACTCAAATGTTCACACTGGTCTTTATGTAATTTGTTTTAATCAGAACCCAGGAAGACTAGGTTCCTAAAGTAGAAGCTAATGGGGTGTCCAATAAACCAGTATGGTACACAAACGTGTGTTAACTTGTGCAACAAGCAATAGGTGCAAAACTCAGCACAGAGATGTTGTTAAGAAATGGTTGATTTAAATAAGCAGTAAAATAAAAGATAGTCCATGTTCTAACTATGTTTTCCTGTGTTAATTGTTTATTGTGTTTACTTCATGTTATATGTGAACTATACCGTATACTGTAAAGTAATCGATTGTTTTTATCTTCATGTCTCTCCTAAGTTGAACTGTGACTTTAAGGACATTTACAGCACTTAGGGTGTGCTTTGCTAGGCTAAAAAAGCAACAACACTGAAACTAAGTGTGTCACATGCACACTCCTCTGCCTCATACTTCAACCATCACCTTCCTCTGTCACTTCAGTCGGTCTTAAAATCTGTCTTTAACTCCTACCTCTTCAAACCCGGCTCTCACTCTTTCACTCTCATAAACACAAACCTCCTTATTCATATCGGGAGGGCCACACATCTCCCTTTAAATAAATGCCCTCCCCTCCTCCCCTCTCCAAACTGTGCCACCGTAAAGTGTAACAATAAAGAAGCTCAGGATTGAGGGCTTTTATTTGCCCTGGGTCCTTGAGCAACAGTCAGCATGAACACAATACATACAAACACAGGTCTGCAGGGCCAGGAGGCAGAGCAGAGCAAATGTCCCTGCCTTACTTCTGTTATATTTTTTAAATCTCCTCCTCTGGTGGAGGGGTGGGGCAGTGCAGCAAGCATGCAAGACTCCTCAGCTTGCTTGTTCACGTCCATACTGTCTCTGATTCATTCATAAGCCAACTACACACCTACTTTATGTTGCTATGCGCACACAACATCCTAGCTTTATCATCTGCACAGACTGAAACACGCACAGGCCATTTTAAATTACAATATTCCCACAGGTGATCCAGACAAATCCAGTATAACAGACATACACTTTCAGCCCCTGAACCAGTACAGTAAATATCATTATAGAATCAATGCAGCCTTGAATCGATTGAGGCAAATTTTAGTTCAAAACCATCACTGTGATGACATTTTGGCTGTTCCTTACAGCTTTAAAGGGCTCTCTGAGGATTAAGACTTGGTTTCAGGATTAAAGGTAGAATTAGGGTTAGGTTAGCATGAGGGGTAGGGTTGGGGCATTTAGTTGTGATGGTTAAAGTAAGGGTATGTAAGGGATGAGTCTCCTCACAACTATAGAATAACAGGTGTGTGTGTGTGAGTGTGAGAGAGACAGAGTGTGTATGAGTGTAATAAGGGGAAGAAGTTGATCACACTATGTGCTCCTCTGAGAATTTCACCGAACTTCATGCTTTTTTATTGAAAGAAGGCGGGGAAGGTATTACCATAAAGTTGCCACCACGTCTGCTGTAAACTCAATAATGCAAGAATGATTCCACCAGCACACACACACACACACACACATACACATTACTGTACACATACACACAGCTTGCCTGCACCCATTATTGTTATGCACCACGGTAAATTCAATATTGTGTTCACCCTCCTAAGCCAGAGTGGGAGTAGTCAGCAGAGAAGCCACAGTCTTAGCTTTAACCCAACAGATTAAATAGAAATGTATGAATAAAACAAAATAAATAAAAGAGGAGATATTTATTCTTGCTGTCATATACTGTACAAACCGCCTCTCTCCTATTTGAGAGAGCAAAAGGAGTAAAGGAACAAAGGAATTGGAGCATCAGGAAATATGAGCAGAGAGACAGATGGAAAGAAAGAAAAATTTTTTTAATTGTTCTCTTTCTCTGTGCCAGTATTTCCATGCATGCATAAGGAATGCATCTGTCCTATCTGAATGTGTCTACAATATATCAACACTTGCCATACTGTAAATATCACTAGAGAAACATCTGCACGGCCTTGTCGGATGTGTCACACAAACATTTGTGCAGTCTGTACATAATTATCTCATCCGGCTTCAAATGTGTGAACATGTCCGCCTATGTATGGTTTGTGTGTAGGGCTATTAAAATCCTTCTAAGTCATAGGATTTCATTAGCAAATCACTGAATGAATCAATGAATTCAAATAAGAAATCATTCTGTTATTCTGCTGTTCCGCTGCATATGAAGCCAGTGATGCAGAGGATCAACAAAGCTTGTTTTTCAAAGACAAAGGCATATTTGTGCATAGTACTCTGATGAAAAAAATTTCATTACTAGCTTTCAGCAGTCCGCTAAGACCACAGTGCCAAGTCAGTGTCTGTTATGTTGGGGGCCAGAAAAGCCGGTGACACACAATTTATGCTGCACTTGACTTTACAAGTAAACTTTCTTTAACGCACCTGTCATTGATGCTCCAGTTGAGGCAGAGGTTGAGGGAGCTGAGGTTGCGACATTTCCTCACCACCTCCATCACTGTCTCGTTGTTGAGCTCTGAGATGTGCCGCAGATCCAGGACACTCAGGTTACGCAGCTACAAAAGGCAACGCAAACAAAGTTTTAATCATGTCAAATAGGCAGCTGTACAGTAATAACAAGGATCTTACATTTTATTTCTTTTCACACAAACAGGTATACACGGGCACAATCACTGTGTGCCCGGCAGCTGATTCATTACTGTGAGTAGTGCAAAAAAGGAAACTGC